CTCTGGACATGTTCCAGCTTGTCTATATCCTTCTTAAACCGTGGTGCCCAACACTGAACACAATACTCTAGGAGAGGTCTAACCAGAGCAGAGTATATCAATACCAATATACCGAGGGGAACATATTATAACTTAATAACCAAAGGTAGTACTGTACTGAGTAATGTAAAACAAAATATGTGTTATTTGTATATGTACTTTTCTTATTATAATAATAAAAATAAATTTACCAAAAAAAAAAAAAAACACCCCAACGCAGAGCAAAGCAATACCATCACTTTGCGTGATCTGGTATACTTCTGTTAATATTACAAAGCTGTTGTTAAACGCAGCTATACTTTTTTTTGTAACCCCCGAAGGGATAATTTTTTATTGCTTTTTCTAAAAACTACAAAGAAATAAGGAGGGATGTCTACAAACTATGGGAGAAAGAAAAGAAAACCACTAAAACCCCAAGAGATGGGGGCCATTACAAAAGCTTATATAAATTGCTAAATTATAAAAGATTATTGGTTACATTCGTTGTGATCAGTATTCCCTCTAAGCTGAGTTGGTGTGAGCTAGCTCACAGTTTTTTAGCCTCCGACTCACACATTGTTGTCTTAGCTCAGGAACGATGGCTCCAATCCAGAGCAAACTAATTTATGCAGTAGCCAAATCACCTGCCTGCTCACAACTTTAATGCTGGTAGCTCACAAAGTAGAATTTTTGCTCACCTCAGAGTCCGAACCATCAGAGTTGTTGTCACTGCCTTTATCGCTGACCTCATCTTCTCTGCCATCCTCTGCTGCAGAACCAAGTTGCTGTTTCAGAAACTCCTGTGCTTTAGTAACAGTGTCAATTCTTTCCTTCTTGTCGTTTATCTTAAACAAGACTACTTCAGGAATCAGCCATCTGTAAGCGATGTTGTTTGTTTGTAAAAATTTTGCCAGGTCTTTATATCCTTTTCTTTTCTTTCTGATTTCAAATGGAATGTCTTTCAGAACTCTTATGTTCTTGCCATTGATTTTCAGGGATGTTCCTGATGTTGCTTTCAGGATTTGATCCCTCACATGCCTTTTGGAGAATCTAACCACTATCTCTCCTGGCAGATTTTTCTTTTTTATATATGCTGAATATGATCTGTAGACCACATCCATCTCGCTTTGAATATAATCCGCTTTTAAATCTGCCATCAG